CGAGTCGAACTTGCATGACATTAACCATTTACTCTGTAAATATGCAATATAGTAAGAAAGAAAAAGGATCTGTCGCCCATAGGAGCTGTGTTTTTTCTAGTTCGTTTTGCTCTACAAAGATGACAGCTCTAATCTGACCATCTGCTATGGACAAGACTTTTACTTTATGTTCCTCCAGTTATCCAGATTATCACTGAAGTTCATAAACAGAACATATTTTAGCCAGGCAGTAAGAGGCCTTTTCTAATGTAAATAGGAGGGATCCAATCTCCTTTTATGAAGTCGGTTACCATGGATGTGGGCTACTGAGCACAAAGCTTGCAGGGTTTGCTGATTTATCTACAAAGGAGTAAAAAAAAAAAAAAAAACCAAGATGGAAACAACTGAGATATTTTTCTACAGCGAAGTTTAGCTGCGTGTATAGAACTTGCTATGACAAGCAATATAGCCAAAATTCTGAAATGGAGAACTGGAGTGAAACACTGTCACATAATAAATGTGGAGAGGTATTTCGTTATTAAATAGATTTTCAGCTTCACTTATATTACACAAATGATCCTCTCTCTAATATTTAATGCAAATGAAGTCCACGCAAAAATGAAAACCCACCAATGAGGAGTGTTAGTTCAATGAACTGATGAAGGATGTGGGTCAAGAGCAATATTTGGGGCAAAGTGGCAGTGTTTACTGAGAGAGCATACCCCAGACATGTATACTAAACCAACCACACTACCTTTTTACACAGCTAGAGCTCTTTCTAATGGAGCAAGGCTCCTAGGTTTGAGGGAGCACATGACTTCCACCATGTGATGGTGCTCGAATCTTATCATCAGGCTTGAACACGGTCACATTGGTGGGGCTCATGACATGCTGACATTGTCAGCCAACACCAACACTGAGAATGCTGGGATGCCAACCAGTGGAGGTGTCAAGGGAGTATGACTCGGTAATTATAAAGGCCTTGTGGGTAGGCTATCTGCAAATACTACTACCAGTACACACTAAGAAAAAAGCTAATGACCGAAGTACATATCATGATGACGTCAGAAAGGCTTGTAAGAAAATTCTCAGGCGACAAAGGCAAACTTAGGCAAATATAGCTATGTACTAGTGTAGTGGAAGAGGAAGTATAGGGTTGTTCAATGCTTCTGATAATGCATCTTTTTTTCTATTCGATTATTTCCGTATAATTACTGCACACATTAAATAAAAATCGTAGGTTATGTTCACGTACGATAAACATTTTCTAGCTTGTACCCTTGTTTTTTTTCATTCAAAAAGTCTATAAAAAATACTAACGATCAGATAACTGATCGATCGTTTCTTGTATGAAAATTTTCGTGCCACCTGCAATGCTTTATTAGGACAGACAGGGGTTGATTTACTAAAGTCAAATAGTCTGTGTATTTTGCAAGTGCAGTTGCACTAATTTTCCCTAGAGCTTAGTGAATGTGGTGAAGCTCTGAATATTTCCATCCAATCATGTGCAAGCAAAAATGTTGTTTTTTACAATATTCCTTGCACCTGACTAGGTACTTTTTACAAAGGGAATTTTTACCACATTCACTAAGCTCTGGGGAAAATGAATGAATCTGCACGTGCAAAGTGCACAGTCTATTTGCCTTTAGGAAATCAACCCCAAAGTATTCAAATCTAGTTTACAACTGAAAATGGAAATCTGCCAGCATAGTACACACAGGGCTAATCATTACCTCTTCAACCCCCTTGCATTCCACAGGAAAATTCAGTTTAGTAGTAAAATGTAAGATTTTCTCTGAAAAAGGGAAACCTAAACGTGGCTGACTAGCTCAAGTGGTCCTGCATGGTTCTGAGCACTTACCAACTTAGCTTCATACTAACTGGGCCCTAACAAGCGCACAGAAGACACTGTAGTGCTCTTAAAGGGACATTGCTCAATTCCAAATGAGAATTTGCTTTACTTCACAACTAATCCTTGTCATCTAGTTCTGAAGACCCGCAGTGAGCTTATGTGTTTCTTGATAGTTGTTCCTGCTCACTAGGGAGTCAGCAGTCCCCTCAGATTGGAGGCAGTGGATTATTTCTGAAAGCAGGTCTGATAATAGTACTTGTTTCTTTACTGTGAATATTGTTACTTTTGCTCATAATTGCCAAGAGTAATTATATTTGCTGTACATATCAGTGTCATTTTGTTCTTTTTATCCAAGTCACCTTTATTTGCAATATAAACTTCATATTGGTTTATACTAACTTGTGTGTGAGTCCATTTTACAGTTGTGATATATTTTGGTCACAATAGCGCAGTGGTGTCAGCAGAGGTTGGGCTTTCAACAAGAGGTCCAGATTGACAGGGAACCTAAAAATTACTAAGCAACCCTTAAGGGGGTAGTGCTACAATTGTATACAATTACTTGCTTGTAACTGCACTTTGAAGCTAAAATATGGACACACATACTATATTTAAATATATTCCTTAAAGTGTTACTAAACTCACAACAGTATAATCAGTCTGTATATGCAGTAAAGCATGCTTGTTATACTCACTGTGGAACCTAAGGGGTTAATCTTCCCCATTGTGTAAATAAGGCTGTTTGATCCTGTCTTCTCTGATCCCCTCTCCTTCTTCTACTGTTCCCAATCCATTTGCTGATAGTACAGAGCTCTAAGAGTCACTCTGCACATGCTCAGTTTAGTGTGTATGGATAGAGAGTTTTTTTTCTTTCTTTAAGAGGGTGCATGTTATCAGTACACGGCCAATCAGCACTGTTCAGACAGAGGGTCAGGGCCTATGCAGCCTCATAGGACAACAGAGCAGAATGAAAACTCCTCCTACAAGCTTTAACCTGTGCTCAGCCAGACACTGATAGAAGTCACAAGACTGCTATATATTGTTGATGAGAAAAGGTAGCAGTTTATGTTTACTAAAATAATTGCATTTCCATGTTGTATGTACTGTGGGAGGCCATATATAGTGAATGTATGGTCCTGGGTTTAGTAACACTTTAATGCCCATAAAATTATATAAATCAGCTTTGGGTTCACCATCACATAACTTCAGAAACACAGATATTACTTTGAAAAGTATCATTGACATGAGCACTGTGCTGCACATAGCCTGTACAGAAAGCAGAGCTGTGGGAGGGGCCTAGTAGGTCCCACCCACTACAGATAGGCTGCAGAAGACTATAAGAGGGGGCAGATACAGGACCAGTCACCCTGCACAAGGAGAAAGAGAGTAGCAGAGATTGGTCTTTATTGCAGTAAACACATGCAGAGAGGTAGAGTGTTGAAATTGTATCATGATGGATTACTGAACAGATCTAGAAGATTGATGCCTGTGTCCCTTTATTGAATAAGGCTGCTGATCACATATTCACCTACTCCTTACCATAAAATCCTGCTCTTGTTAACCAATGAACCCCATACTGTTTATAACAGCTGACTAGAATTCTGACTAGAATAAATACAGCAGTTGGAATAAAGAGAGCAAAAATCTAGAGACACAGCGATAGTTCTGACTGCCCTGAGGACTTCATCTTCACAGCGAACAGAAGGGAACAAGGTCACTAAGACCTCCACACAGCTGTGAGACTTCTATATGCTCGGCTCAGAAGGAAAGAAAACCAGTTACTTTTCAACTTTCTTAACTCGCTTCTTAGGGAACTGACTACAGACACACATACTGTATAGGGTAAAAAAGGCATCACAGGCATTTAGAATTACCCCTGCCTACCTATACCAGGTAAGCCACAGACTGAAACCTGGAGAAGTATTTTTGTGAGTAAAAATTGCAAAATGTGAATTCAGGGTGGGTGGGATACAGTCTAACCTACTGAGAAAGAAGGACATCTTTTTGCACAAGGAATATGGGAAAGAATGTATTCCTGACATATCCCCAGTTATGAGGACAACTAAGAATTTATATGCAAAAATAAGTTAATAAACACACATGCTTTTCTTCTACCACTACTTTTTCTTTATATTGGGTTGTGGAAATATTAATTTTCCAATCATTTTACTGTCGGTTTACTGTCCTTCAGACTTGAAGGGGGCCAGACTGTTACAGTGAATGTAGAAAATGCCCCCTTCGCTGGTGTCAGTGGAGGGAATGGGGGCCAATTGTTGGTATCAATGGGGGCAATGGTGGCCTTTCTCTGGTGTCAGTGGGGGAATGGTGCCCCCTTGTTGATATCAATGGGAGGAATGGTGCCCCCTCATTGGAATCAGTGGGAGGAATGGTGGCCCTTCGCTGGTGTACATCATAAGTTATGCAATCCAGAACTAAAACACTTTGGAATCTATTTATCCTTTGAGACTGAATCCACTTTAAGAAAAAGTTTAAACAGAACATATTTTTTAGTTGACCAAAGTCTTTAAAGGAATGCTACACAATGAGCATTGATAGTTTTCTTCTATGGGATAACTGTTCTGGAGGCCAGCTCTGCATGACAAAATACTGCTCTGCTCCATCTATGTGTCATTGGTTTTACCAGTTCTTGAAATATATATATATATTCATGAATAATAGTAATGTTAATAGTATGTTTTTTAGGTAATCTTTGACATTGTTAATTTGATGGCAATGTTGTCCGCACATGGCCCACTCCTTCAGGCATGTATGTTTACCTAGCTTCTCGTCTACCAAGCACAGCACCCCCACCCATGTAAGTTTAATTGTCAAATGGTGTTGGGAATTAGATAAAGGGTGATGTTATGGCCATATGACTGTGTTTGGGCCTGATGATTGGCCCAAACTCTGTCACTTGGCTCATGTGCTCAACAATTCCTGTAATCCCCTGGAAGTGTATCTTTAATTATGCAGGGTGGGGGTTAGATTCCAATGAATGCTATTTAGCTATCTTTATGAATATCAACAAAACATGAGCTGGTATTAGAGGGAAAAACTGCTCTACCTAACTTAAGATTTCAGTTCCTCTGTTACAATATTTATAACTGGAAATGGCATTTCAAAGATGACTTTTCAATCATCTTTAAACAAGAAATCAAACTTTTAGATTTTCTTACCGTTCTGTAATAGTTTCCCTTAGTCCACTGGCAACCCCTTTGACAACAGTACTAGCTTTGGGTGTTAATACCACCTGAGAAATAAAAAAGGAGCCTTTCTTCCTCCGTTCAGTAATTGATGATTGTAAAAACTGAATTAGTTTTTCTGTATCTGTGGTATTAGCCCATGGGGCTGGCATCATCTGCCCAGGCCAGAGAAATGGAACTTCAAGTGCCACTGGACTGTGGTAGAACACCAAAATTTGGTAGTTCCGTTCCCAAAGATAATGAAGACTTACTTCCTGGGCAAAAATAGCTGGGCATGTTTTGTTCCCAAATATGTCCTTCAGCATCTGAACCAGGTTTTCATGATGGTATTTTTGCATCCCATAAAAATGGTTGAAGTCCAAAAACACCACTTCCTTCGGGTGAGTGTTCAAAAAAGCATTGATTTCTTCAAGGCCTTCGTTAACTTTGGCACTAAATAATCCATGAGCGAAATATAACTCATTATCAGGGTCTCTAGGTTTCGTTGAAATCCGAAGGTCAAAATATCTTATTCCACATTCCATTTGGCTGGTAAAGTTCATTGTCTGGGTGGCCAACCACTTTCTCATGAGCTTTTTGGCAACTGTTCCAAACACAGACACAAAGTTCTGGACAGTCTCTGGCTGTTCTGGTCCAACTGGAGATGCCTCATCAATGTAGAAGCTGAAGGAGTCATGTGATCCTGAAATACAAGAAGAATCTGTAATTTATAGTCAAAAAGCAAAGAGTAAACACATCTTGCACACCTTACCCATGACAATCATAAACCTCCCATATTATTTTACAAGTGTTGGTTAATATATGAAAGATACTACTTTACTAGATGATATGGATAAAAGCTCTACTTCTTTTGCCTTTTTTTTGGATTAGCCCCAGGAAGCATTTTTTTTTTTTGCAGCTCTCACTCTGCTTTTTCACACTGACCTTCACGTCCCCTAAGACTAGAAACGTATAACAGAAAATTTTAATTTCAGTTTCATTCACTAAGTTAATCATTTTTTTCATCATAATCGTTATGTTAGAATGATTCATTTTAGATCCGATTCGTTATTTCAGGAGAGTATATATTCTGTGTTCCAAAATGATTAGTATTTTCAGTAGTTCTGCTATTTTTTTGTATTTTAAAAGTTTGGCTATATTTGTTTTAACGTAATTAATTAAAAACATATTCATTGGTTATGTTATTACGTTGGATTAATTTCCCCTTTCCCAACTGACTTTTTTTGTTGGGCCGTTCACGTACAAATTAAATGAGTGGTCTCTCAAGTTCAACAATACAAAAAAGAATCTCATTAGAGTATTCACGCTACACTCACTGGAAAAAAGACAAATGGATGTTAATCAATTCGGATCATTTGTTATATCGTTACATATCATGTCATCGGAATGATACAAATTAATACAAATTAATTTGTTGTTTTCATTATAGTCTATTTTGGATTAATTAAAATTTGCAAAATCATGCAAATTTCATCAAACTTTCAATTCATAACGAAACAAAAGGCACATGTCTACTCAAGACACTGAACTGGCATATATTCACAAGACTCATGTAAGAGGACCAATAGCTTTAGCATGTGCAGACCTGCCCTCTAAAACACTGTTACACACTTCTTCATTATCAGCAGCCAGCAGGACAAAATGACAAACTCTAGTCGCTGGCTAACGTTTCTTTAAGAAACACTAGAAATTTACCATTTCACTGGTAACAAATGAAACAGCCTATGGGTCAACTCAAAACCAAAAACTGCTTCCTAGAACATCAACTGTACTAAAATGATAGAAATGTGACTGGCAAGTCAACTATCAAATAGGTAGCAAGAAGCCTGTACTAGGAGAACAACATTGAGGCTACCATTGCTACCTTCTTCTGAAACTTCTAGTTTCCTGGACCTGTGACAAGTATGCTATCCAGGGGGTCAGACCTCTCTATATGTGTGTTCCTGGTCAATGACCCAGAAAGTGCCAAAGCAACTAGATCAACATGAGATTGTGGAAATTAATATTCGGATAAAATCAAATTGCAGCCTTGTATTTGTCTCCGTAAATGTTTACTTTAAGTACCAGTTTTGTGCCAGACCATCATATGGTGAAACAATTCATAAGCATGAGGCTATCTGGCACAGCCAGTGGAAATTATATGCAGATTTTTGGCTTTTCCTGTAAGGTTACTTTTTTTGGTGCAGTGGGTAAAAAGAATCCTGCCAGCTGTATCTATGGTGCAGTTTCCAGCAAAATGCACATTCTGGACAGATAAATAGGTATATTAAAATGGCATGTAAATGCACTGCAAAAAGAATGCAGAGGTTTGACTGTATCCTGAGAGCTGAACTCTGGACTGGAGTAAAAAGGTTACCCTCTCAGTGGGGCCCCCTCCACATTGCAAGGGTTACATGTTCATTTTTGTCTAGATAGAGAGGAATAAGCACAATATTGAACTTATTCCGCATTTTCCCAGCAATTGGAGCTCTCCTTCACTCTCCAACACTTCACGGATATGGATGGGCCCTTTGTATTCTCAAATACAGTGCAAGATGTTGAAGAATGGCAACCAGTACAGCAGGGAAGGGGGGTAGCTTTGGAGGACTGGTCTTACGAAGGGGAGGAAGCCTGTGGGAGAAAAGGATATGTTTCACCTTATTACTTTCCCCCTAGACAAAATGATGGGGTCACTTTTTCTCCAGTTCAAAGTTCAGCTTTAAAGATGAGCTTGGCTCCTCCTAATCTTTTCCCATACCTCACTGTTGTTCTTCTAATGCTAGAGGTGACCTTGTTGACAAATAGGAAAACCTAGTACATAGAAGGAGGGAACCAAGCTTGGTATTTTTTGTATGTTAAAATATGCATACGATTTCACTTGTCTGTTTCTCTGACTTACAGAGCATTTTGAATGATTTGCGGTTTCTTTGGGTCTAACCTCTGGTTATGTACTTTTTCATCATATGCTGAATATTTTCATATTTTTTTTTTCCTTTAACCCATTGACACTGATCGTACACAAATATGTGGCCTCTCGGCGTCTGGGTCTTGATACCGAGCAGCCGCATATTTGCGTGTAATTAAAAAATACATATGTGCTGAGAGCTCACGCCCTGCACACTCCCAGCACATAGGTCCACTAATCCCGCAAAGGTCCCGATCTCCCCTTTCGATCTGGACCTTTTCCGATCATGTGACCGCTGTGACAGCGAATTATGGCAATCACATAACCCTAAAACCCATACCCGCCTCCCGGCTTCTGAAACTCTTAAAGGGCTCTTAGAGGTTAAATAGAGATAGCTTAGAATAGCTAACATTCTCAGGGGCGTGAATATTTTTGAAAAAACTACTTGTCCAGGGACTAAATCGGGAACCCCAATCTACTTGTCCCTCATGACAATCTACTTGTCGAGATAAAAAAAAAAAATTTAACCAAAACCATATTTAAATCGGAGGTGATTTTAGGAATGTCTGGGGCTTTTAAAAACAAATAGGCTTTATGGTATCTTAAACGTGTAATATTTTTAACATTCCATTGTTTATCTCCTCCTCCCCTCCCTGCGTGTCTCCAGCACCGCACCCGGGAACTAGCAGGGAGGGAGAGAGACCTTGCAGTGTAATGAGCACCGATTAGCTGCTTGTCAGGAAAGGGTGGGTCAGGGTGTATACTTTTTCCCTTTCGTTGCCAGAGCCGTTTTTGCGTTTTCACTGCCAGAGCCATTTTTGTGTTTTTTGCACATGTTTAAAAAATCATTTTAGGCTTGAAGATTATGTAAAAACCCCAAACATTATATATTTTCTGAAAGCAGAGACCCTATAAAATAAAATAGTAGTAGTTCCAATTTTTTATGTCACAAGTTATTACCGCAAAATTTCATTAAAAAATACACAAGTAGGTTAACTTTAGGGCACAAAAAAGCAATGAATTGCCTTATATTTTCGTAAAATAAAAACGATGAGGTTACAGTGAGTAAATTGATATCCAACTTGTCAATCCTTAAATTTGTGCGCGCTTGTGAAATGGCGATGAACTTCAGTACCCTATATTTTCTATAGGTCGACACATTTAAAGCCCCTAATAGTTTAGTGTTACGGAGGAGTTCTGGTGCTAGAATTATTGCTCTCATTCTGGCGTGTGCGGCAATATGTAACGTGCATCTCAATCGACAGTTTCATGCGTAGGTGCCCTAGCATGTGCTTTTATGTTTGCACGTGCGTATATGTGGGGGTGGGGGCCTCAATATTTTTTTTGGGGGGGGGATGGTATGTGCTTGGGTGTAAATTTCATTTTTTACAATAAAAAAAACTAAACTTTTTTTCGTTTTACTTTTTTTTGTCCCCTATGTGATGATTTTTGGTGGCAGGTTCTCTTAGAGACATCCAAGGTCTAAAAGACCCTGGATGTCTCCCCTCTGATCCACTGGAGATTGCTCTTTCCTGGACATTGCATTACAATCTCTCAACGGGGACCCGGAAGTGACATCATAACGTCACTTCCTGGTCAGCACAAGAAGGGGAGGGGAGTGGACTTGTCCGCTCTTCTCCATCTCCTCTAGTTGGGGGCAAGCAGAGCTCGGGACACATCATGCCAGGGCGCAGAGAGGCTGGCACTGTGTGGAAGCAATTGCTTCACCTGACAGGTGAGCCCCGCTGTTCGCAGTGCTAAAGGTAGAAAGAAACTACCTGCCCGGCACCCAGAACTACATGTCCCAGGAGTTGAGCGATAGAAATCCAGTATCCCTGATTCTGTTGGGTTTTTATTTCTGTTGGTGACCCAATTGGGTAGATCTTCCCTCATTTACTTCCGAAACAAAAAATGGGAGAAACAGTTGTCACCAGCACAGGAAGGCAGAGGCAGCAACAAAAACTTTGCCAAACGTTTTAACCTATCCCGACTACAGTTTTGTCTGTGTCCCTATTGGAGAGATTTGAAGTGAAATTGCCCCAACAGGGACATGAAATATAAACTTAACAGGGGATCCAACCCTTTATCAATGTATCCAAAACCACATACAAAGTTTTGGCTGCAGTTGGCATTTTGTTTTGCTATGCAAATCTAAATACTTACAATTTTTTCATGTATCTGTAGTTTTTTACCCATGCGTATGAGACTTAACTGTCTTTGTATTAATATTGCCAAATGAAAAACCTTGCAGCATTTATTCTGAATTTAATATAACAAAACAGGCACCTATTGAACCCATCTAAAGTACTTATACATTTATCTGTGAAACTCCAGGTTAGATAAATCTTTCAGTCTTTAAAAGCTGCGATTGTTGCATGCATCTAGCAATTTGAATGTGAAAATGATTCTGGAACGGTGAATTTTACCATAAGTGGTTTTATTTCTATGTTCATCTCTGTGGTATAGCCGGCGGGAGTTTCGATCAGTAATTGCCGGGCATCAGTTATCTTGCCAGTGACTAATGATCTGTCAGGTAATGAAGACAAAAGTGGGTATGTTGCATATCCCACCTCAGTAATCAGCACAGGCTGACAATGACAGTCCAGATTCACCTGCCATAATAGATACAGAAGACATACTAAGCTTTAGAGACAGGTAGCCCGCTGTGACTGAAACTGAGATGTTCCCAGCGCACAAACACAACTCTTCCAAAAGAGCGACTTAGAAAATAAAAACCTATTTATTTACACCTCTGTATTCTATCTGCCTGTGTATCTATCTTGAGCAGCATTTCTCAACCCTTTTTGT